CTCTCCCTCGTATGGACGAGTCATTGGATGCCCTGGCAGGGACGCACTATTTCTCCACCTTGGACCTTCTGTCAGGGTTTTGGCAACTCCCCCTCGACGAAGCGTCAAAACCTAAGACTGCTTTTCGGACACCACAGGGCCTTTTCGAGTTGAATAAATTGCCCATGGGTCTCCACTCGGCCCCAGCGACATTCCAGAGGCTCATGGAGCTGGTCCTCGCTGGGCTCCAGTGGGACTCACGTCTCATTTATCTTGACGATGTCATCTTTAGCCGCACGTTCAGCGAACACATCGAACGGTTGCGTGCTGTCTTCTTGAAAATGCGGGCCGCTAACTTAAAATTCAAGCCGCAGAAGTATCACCTTCTGCGTGAGTCTGTGCGCTATCTGGGCCACATAGTTAGCCGCTCGGGCATCTCTACCGACCCTGAAAAAAACAAATGTGTTCAACAATGGCCGACCCCTACATCTGTGGGCAATGTTCGTAGTCTTTTTTGGTTCTTTCTGTAAAGTCACGTAGAATGAGAATAAAATAATAAAATAACACAATAAAATTCTCACGACGTTTCGGCCACAATGCAAGCGGCCGTCTTCAGGTGAAAGGAACAGACCTGTCGGGACGACAGAGCTTCAATGAACGATGTTAAGATTCGTAGCGACTTTTAAGCTGGTTGGGAGAAGTAAGGCACCTTGACAAAGGGGTTTACATATCAAATAGCTGAGGGATTAGCTTGTGACTGGTCACAGAAATGGCTATGTTAAAGTCAAAACCTACACATCCACAGAGGCAACTAGTAATTTAGCATTGAAATAGCTAAGGGATTAGCTTGTGCAAATAACTGAGGGATTCGCTTGTGACTGGTCACAGAAATGGCTATGTTAAAGTCAAAACCTACACATCCACAGAGGCAACTAGTAATTTAGCATGAAAATAGCTAAGGGATTAGCTTGTGACTGGTCACATAAATAGATGTTAAAGTAAAGGCCTACACATCCACAGAGCTTCAATGAACGCTGTTAAGATTCGTTGCGACTTTAAGCTGGTTGGGAGAAGTGAGGCACCTTGACAAAGGGGGTTTACATATCAAATAGCTGAGGGATTAGCTTGTGACTGGTCACGGAAATGGCTATGTTAAAGTCAAAACCTACACATCCACAGAGGCAACTAGTAATTTGCATTGAAATGGCTAAGGGATTAGCTTGTGACTGGTCACAGAAATAAATGTTAAAATAAAGGCCTACACATCCACAGAGCTTCAATGAACGCTGTTAAGATTCGTAGCGACTTTAAGCTGGTCGGGAGAAGTGAGGCCCTTGACAAAAGGGGGTTTGCATATCAAATCGCTGAGGGATTAGCTTGTGACTGGTCACGGAAATGGCTATGTTAAAGTCAAAACCTACACATCCACAGAGGCAATTAGTAATTTAGCATTGAAATAGCTAAGGGATTAGCTTGTGACTGGTCACAGAAATAGATGTTAAAGTCAAAGCCTACACATCCACAGAGGCACCTCGTACATGGACGCCAAAGGGGGCTGCAACAACTCAACTGTCATACAGTCAACCGATGAGAAAAACCTAATTCTAAATTACATCAATATAATAAATGTACTCAATATATTCTTCAATAAACTGAGCTATTAACATTAACTGGGTATACACTACACTATATAATGAATACCATATAGTAAACCAATAAAAACTAAAATATAAACTACCTCAATGTTATATCACAATGTCATATGGTGAAAAAACGGGTGGACGCTGTTATGCTCCATGTTATAAACCATACCATTAACCGTGGTGTTAGAGGTATTAGTTGTTCCTCACATGTTCTAGAGAAGATGTTCGTAGTTTTATTGGTTTTGGGTCATACTACCGCCGTTTTGTTGCTGGCTTCGCGATGATTGCCAAGCCGCTCCACGCCCTTACGTCGAAAGGGGTGGCGTTTCATTGGGGGGACGCAGAACAGGCCGCGTTCGACTCCTTGCAGAACGCGCTCGTGACGGCACCGTCCCTTGCATACCCCGATTTTTCCGTGCCATTCGTGTTGGACACCGACGCTAGCAATACGGGGATTGGGGGTGTTCTGTCCCAAAAAGTTGATGGCATTGAAAGGGTCTTTGCCTATGGTAGTAGAGTCTTTTCTCCTGCTGAACAAAGATACTGTGTGACCAGACATGAGCTGCTGGCCATTGTTTTTTTTATTCAGCAATACAGGCCGTACCTGTATGGTCAGCATTTTACCGTGCGATCTGATCATTCGGCTTTACAGCACGCTCTGCGGGTTGACCAACCGTCCGGGCAGCTTTCTCGGTGGCTCGAAGTCCTTCAGGACTACGATTTCAATGTCACTTACCGTAGGGGTGCACAACACATGAATGCCGATGCGTTGTCTCGCCTCCCGCCGGCTCAAAAATGTGCGTGTCTTTTGGGCTCGGGCCGTTGTAAGCCGCCGCTGCCAGCGCAAGTCACGCCTCTCAAAACGGTGTCAGTCGCGCTTCCCGCCGCCTCAGCGCCGATACCGGATCAGGCAGATCCAATGGCCAGTGACGATTTGCTGGGGCTGACTTTGGCCGAATGGGGTCGGCACCAGAGCGACGACATGTCGTTATTGCGGTTGCGTCGTCACGCAAATAATGCGGCTCCACGACAGGGGAAATTTAATTCATTTGTCATAAAGCATAGCTTGTTGATGCATTGGGATGCTGACTCGTATCAACATAAAATCGTCGTGCCGTCCGCCTTGCGATGCAAAGCCGTATGGGCGGCGCATGAACGTTTATTACACCTGGGTGTGCATAAAACCATTGGGTTGTTGCGGTTGCAATTTTTCTGGCCAGGCATGCTGCGTGACGTAACTGACATTCTGCTGGGGTGCACCCATTGCGCGCAACGTAAACCGCCGGCTAAACCGGCATGTCCACCCCTGCAACCCATTTCGGTGTCTCGTATAAACAAGTTGGTGGCTCTCGATATTTAGGGCCCTTTTCCTACTACACCACGGGGTAATAAGTACCTTCTGGTTGGGGTGGAGTATTTTACGCGGTGGTCTATGGCCTGGGCCCTCCCCAACCAGTCGGCAGCGGCCGTTGTGGACGCCTTTGTTCAGGCTACGTCCTGGACAAGGATGCACCAGAACGCTTGCTGACCGATCAGGGAAGAAATTTTTCAGGAGCCCTGCTGAATGATGTGTGCCGCCTGTTGGGCACAAAAAAAGTGCGCACTCCGCCCTACCATCCCCAGACCGACGGCATGGTGGAGCGCCTTCATAGAACTCTCACCGCTATGTTATGCCATCAGGTCGATGAATCCCACCTCGATTGGGACTTGCAGGTTCCGGGGGTCCTCGCCGCGTACCGCATGGCGCCTCACGCGGCGATGGGGTTTTCCCCGTTCTTTTGAATGTACGGCAGGGATGCCTTTCCTCCCGCCGACGTTCGGCTGGAAATCAAACAGCCACCGCAAAAATCAAAGCTCGTTGACCACTTGCGATTCAACCTCCGTAAGTTGGCCGAGGCACGGGAGGCTGCCATTGAAAATTCGGCTTCCCGCCAACGAGCGAATTTGTGACTGCGGGACCCTCGGACATCCACGCATCGGTGGGCACCGGGAGACAGGGCATGGCTTCATTGCCCCCAGGTGCCGGTGTCCACGTCGGCCAAACTCCTCAGGCCATGGCGAGGTCCGGTTGAGGTGGTGGAAGTCCTGCGTCCCCAATGCGTCGCTGGTGCGTTCACCCCTCTCGGTTGAAACCCTTCGTCATGCCGCGCGTCCCTCCACAACACACGCAACACAGGGGCCGAGTGTGCGACGCGTTTGACGAGCCGGATATTGCCCTGTTGGTGCCTAACCCGCAGCACAAGCGTGTCATCCCTCCTGCAGATGACACAGGAGTGACGGCTCCATGCAGGCCACGTTCGGCCTCAAGGGACCGTGGAGCATCAGGTGTCCCCGTGGAGATGCCTAAAGACCCACCGGATGTTCCTGCTCATCCTCCTACTTCTCTTGTTCCGCCAACAAAGCCTGCCATCCCCTATGATGGTCCCGCGAAACACACGCGCGCGAAATCTCGCCGTTTGTTATGATGTTCTTTTGCCTTGTAAATACGTTATGTTGTTAGGGGGGTATTTATATGGGTTTTTTAATTGTTCTTGTTCTTGTTGTTCGTGAGGCACACTCACAATTCTTCCACCGTTGGTAATTTCGGACTTTCCCATTGTTGCAGCCGGGACGGCTGGAGCTTCCGAAGGAGGGGGTGATGTAGAGGTGTTAACTACGCACTGTTGCATAACCTGCATTGCCACCAGGACAGTGCAGCATTAGCTCTGCGTACAACGGTTAGGGTCAGTCGAGGTGAAATGGATCGTAGCCAGGGTTTGGTCAGAACCAATCAGACGGTTCCACGTGGGAATGTATGATTGGTTCTGCCTGGCCACGAAGGAGCATAATGGTGACCCAACAGAGCTCGGGGAGTTCTCTCCCTACACGAAGACAGAAGACTGGGCTGAAGCCTAGCTAGGACCCTGGACCAGCCTTCCAGCCCTTCTAAGGGCTAAGGCTCGGCATACCCAGTGGTCAGGACCCACCGGGCCAGCGGTGGGTCAGATAGCCTCCCCTAGGTCCTAGCCGGAGGACTCTAGGCTAGGATAGCGGTAGATGTGTGAGTCCCGCCAAGTCCGGAGGCTATACCTCCTTAGGTATCAAGGAGGTTAGCGGTAGACGTGAGTCCCGCCAAGTCCGGAGGCTGTACCTCCCTAGGGTATTGGGTGAGGGGACCGTATATCCCTCTGTGTGTGTTAAGGACTGTATGAGGAAAAAATACAATAAACAGAGTGTGCCTCCTAAGAAGTCTGCTCGTCTTTACAACACTACATACGTATAACCAGAGAGAATGCAAAGCACAGTCCCAGAAAAAGCAAGGTGGTTCATATATGGACACTTGTCAGTGGTCAAAACAAACCTATAACCCATGAAAAAGTCACCAAAACAAGCATACGGTACATTTTTTTTACTTCTAAATTTATTGAGTACTGTAATCATTTACAAAGTTGATGAGATACTTTTGAAACGGTGCTTGTAACCTCCACAATAGTCAACACTGAGGTACTACTAACTAACGAGGGGAGGTATCGAGATATTTTATTTACAAAATAAAACATGAACAAGACAAAACAATGCTTATTTTACGGAACTACGCTCACTGTACACTGAACATCAAGGACAAAATATGGCTTACATATGGGGCCAGCCAAAGTGAAGGCATCTGTTTTTACAGTAGTGATTTGCTGAAAAAGGAGCGTGTGTGCCTCACTTGAGCCGCAAATTGCAATTTTATTTTCTTAAAGTGACAGCACTTGTCAATAAAGACTCGTTTTCTACCGTCTGCATAGTACCAAATGCCTGATTCATTTTTTTTGCAAGACAACGACGAAATGAATGGTTAGATTTATACAGTATATATTACGTCCATGCAAGACTACAAAAAATGGCTTTTTTAGTCAATCGCAACTTTATAATTAGATGTATATTTTGTTAAGTATGGTATATATGTATGTATACACAGTGTGCAGTAACCCTTCACTTTTAATATCAGATTGGCTGGTACTGGGAAACAGGTAAATACAATCAGCGTTTTTTTTACTGTCAGGTGAGGATAAGCCACTTCAGGGCTATTAATGCCAAAGACGAAAATGCATCTGAGTTATTCACACTAAGGTTTGAATATTAAAAGGTTTGACTCAATGAATGACTGTCATCTAGCAAGAAATTATAAATACCGTCACATTGAAGGTATATACTAGTTAGAATTGTAACGAGAGTATGTTCTCATTTAAAGCTTTCGTGACTGCAGGGATTAATATTATTGGTTCTTTTGGTAAAGTCGAAACGTCGTGAGAATTTTATTGTTTTATATATATTTTAATTATTCTTTTATTGTTTCCCTTCTACGTGACTTTACTGAAAGAACCAAGAATATAGAGTATGTTCTTTGTAATTGTTTAGGAACAATACTAACAGAATGAGACATTTCATATGCAACCCCTTGGAAAGCATAGCACAAGTATTGGCCAAGATCAAAGTTTTTTTTCTACAACAAATTACTTTGCTTTACACTGACCAATTTCGGTAAATTTGTGATACAAAAAAGTTACACTTTGGAAAATTCCCAATTTGTTAAACTCAAGCATATGAATGAATATGCAACTTTGCTGACATTACAGGAAAGGAACTGTTCCAATAAACGTTTGTGAACACAGCTACACTGAATTGATCTTACGAAGTGAATAACTATGGTATGCTTACTCTGCATGAACACATTTCCCCCCACATCGTTTTAAGCGAACTTATCCATTGGAGAAGAAACACCACCTGGGAAGGTATGGACAAAAATATGTGACAGACCTGGCACCATTAAAATGAGTCTCCGTTTCCACTTTGCGTGGCACGATGGGATAACCACATGCTATGGCGGGGTACACTTGCGTGCCACAAATCAAAGACAATTTTCCTCTTCAAAACTCTACGGTGACTATCCCTGCGTCAGAGATATGAAGTCAACCGGCAAAACAAGCTAACACCTCCTCGCTGGTATCAGACGGCAACACTAGTGTGTTGCGAGCATTGCCATTTGGGGGAAGGCGAAAAGGCTGATGCTCAAAACTGTTGCTCGCACGTCATGCTCACAGCCACTACAGTGTGCCAACTGAGGCTCTCTTCAACCACAAAAAGGGCAGCATAGGCTTGTGCCGAAGGCCGCGGAGGGACAGGCATCCACGATATCTTCTGGCCAAACTCTGTTCGGCAGAACCAAGAGACTAACCCCTGCCCCTGCTTCCCCCCTCGTGGTTCTTCCAGAAACGGCAGGAAACCACTGTCTGGTTAAGTGGAATGTCCAACACTCATCGAGGGGCTGCCATTTCTCTCTCGGGAGCTGGACCAGTACAGACTGAAACTGGGAGGTCTGTTGGACTGGTTCTACCTCCAGTCATCATGAGAAGTGGAAGGTCCTCAACTCGGGCAGCATTATCTTTTCATCGGCTGTGTAATGCTGTGTGGAAGCTGGCTGGTGTATCGCTCCATACAAAGCTCCAGGTCTTCTCGGCCACAGTTATACCACTGTCTTCTCTGTGCTTACGAAACTTGTGACTCCGTCAAAGGAACGTGGACCTCACAGATCCTTGACAGACCCTTAAAAGATCTGGACACAGTCTCATTAGTATGCACCTCTCGTAAGCGAGGTTCCATTGGTTGGCTCATCTAGCCCACATGCCCAGCCACCGAATGCCCAAATAGTTTCTGTTTGGCCGGATAGGGGGAGATACATGGGCACAGCAAGGGATTGAGAAGAGGTGGGCTGATATGGTGCAGCAGGATGTGGAGTAGATTGGGCTTGACAATGAATGGTATTAGCAGTGTCAAGATCAGCATGTGGAGTTGGTGGCAGTCTCCGTCCAGCAAAAACGGGAAATGAGAGGAGTGCCTGGTATGCTAATACACGGCAAGTAGGCATGTTGTCTGTCCCATGACCTCCTGCATGCAAGTCTTCGACACTTTACGTGGCCTCAAAGTGCATCTCACCCCCACAAGCACTATGGTTATGTCACTGCCACATAGGGACGAATGACTGCTGTTCATGTTGTTGATGTGAAGTTATGATGCACTCCACTATTAAATGCGTATCTATCTATCTGACAAAGTTTCCAAGCAAATTTTGTTTTACTTTGTGTAAAAAAAAATGTCATGCTGTTATCCAATTGTCCTAAATACAGACTAGCCAGGCATAGGAATAGATAATGTCCATAACTGGCTCAGGGCTGTCAAAGAAGATGAGTGACCAGATTTGACTTTTCAAAGTGAACATTACATAAGACTGCTTAATGCCACTGAATGACAAGTTTTACAAAATGCCGCATTCCCTCTTCATGTCTCAAAAAACAGCATAGCAGCATCACGCAGTACCTATGATGTCTGCCAGCTTGAGTTAATAAAGTGTCTTAAACTAGAAAAAGGTGGAATTAAAGAAGACAAAATGTGAACGCTGATGTGACGATTTTATAATCTGGAGAAAACCTATAGCAGCTATTTCACAGTAAGGGGGGGTTGAGGTTTACAAAGGTATTGTCTACCACTATTGATGTACCCACGAAGTTTAAAATGCATGAATGGGTAAAGAACAATCAGCTATTCGGTGTTCTTGCAGCAGTTACGTAACTGAACACATTCAGTTTTGTATATTATGAAAATGTATTTTTCTGTTTTGTTACAGATGTGATATTTTAAATTAATTTATTTGTGTAATAAACGTTAAACATTTTTCTATCAAACACTATAAATACTATTTACAGCATAATGTATATATTTTTTTTCAAAGGCAACCTCCTTTACTCTTCAACACTGGGAGGCAAACTTACATGTCAATCTATTGGCGTGAAGTGGCTGATACTACTTTAAGCAGATAAAGTGACATTTAATATCCAATGACTGAAAGACGGCTTGACAAACAATGTGACAGTTGACAAAACAAGCTACTTTTATATAGTACAATGTTTTTTCATGGCCTTCGTATGCCGAGCAGCAATACAAGGTCTTCTAAAAACCCTCAATTACAAGGGGACTTAAAAATGTCAACACAATACACTCACAAATGCAGGCCCACTTATGGCCTCGCTCACATTCCACAGGTCCTAGAGAAAAAAACCAACCAAAAACTACATATTTAATTTGCAATGACTAATATAAGCAACCCATTTGACCTTCATTTTCTTATCTTCTTTGCATGGGTGCATAGTTGAAGCAGACCATATAGTTCTTGAAAGACCTCGATGGCTGTGTAACAATTGGCTATTTTTCAAGGAAAATTTGATCTTTACTCCACTCACAAATGCACACTACTTGATAAATCAGTTTTGAATGCCGTGGACAAAATGTACACTTTGCTTGCTTTTTTTGCCAGAGTGCGATCGGTCACTTTGACGCAACACTCACTTTGGATACAAGAAATGCCCCACAGTGGTTTGATACCACTAAGCTTTAGCTAAGACGCCTATTAATGGTCAATGAAAACTGCATGTCAGAGGTGGTGGATGTTCCCATGTTCAAGAGCAGAGTTCAAGAACTCCGCAGGTTGAATGTCACGAGGTAGAATGAAACCTGTATGCATGAATGACCAGATTATGGCACTGAAGCAATCTATGTCGGTCCTTAAAAAGGCATGCGTCGGCACGGCACACCGCTTGCAACAAGGCGAGTCGTGGGCGGGGCGGTTGGGCAGGGCAGCGTGGTTGCGGTGACGATCGCGAGGCAGAGAGTGCCCAGTCAAACAGAGTCTTCTTCCACACCGGCTTGCGGCTATTGTTGCGTGTTGCCGCCGGTCTGCTAAGGGGCCTGACTCTTTCACACCTTGATGTCCTCTTGCTGGCTCAGCTGCGAGAGGGTCTTCTTGATGCGCAGCGCCGTGAGACGAGCCGCCCCGTTTGCATACCAGCACTCGCGCATTATCTTGGCCATCACACGGAGGGCCTGTAAATGTGCCAAGAGCACCACCGGAAATTATTAACACTGTCACACTGAACACCACCGGGTAATGGCAACCAAATGAGATGGCCATGTTTTTTTTTTATTACGCATATAACGTTACTCCAAATCTAAATTTCTATAGCGAAAGGTGACAATAATGATGACTGCATGCAATTGAAGGGGCCCAAAATAGGTTGTACGCCTAAATCTTGACTTAAAGCTTTCATGACTGCAGGAATTAATATCCTTGGGTCTTTCGGTTAAGTCACGTAGATAGGTGCAAAGAAAATAACAAAAAATAACAAAAAACTACGACGTTTCGATCGCAACGCAAGCGATCGTCGTCAGGAGAAAGAAGCGGGAAAGCTGTTGTCTTCAGGGAAAAAAAAAAAGACGACAGCTCTCCCGCTTTTCTCTCCTGATGACGATTGCTTACGTTGCGATTGAAACGTCGTAGTTTTTTGTTATTTTCTTTGAATCTACATACGTGACTTTACCGAAAGACCCAAGAATAAGGTTGTATGCCTACTAAATAAGTTTGCAATATTACTGCAAAAGATATCTAGTAAAAGTAAGATACATTTTACATAATTAACTTTATTTGTGACTATTGGGAAGTAAAAGGCACATTCATCTTTAGAAAGGCTATATAAATTAAAATACAGTGTAGATAACCATGGGGGAATACTATCCGTTGAATGTGCGTAAGAAATTCAGGCTTAGGTAATAAAATACAACTGGGAGCATGCGGATGAGGTGGAAGCGGCGCCTGCATACACAGCAGTAGTGGTGGCAAGCCAGCATACGTACCTCACAGCTCTGCCAGCGGTTAGGGATGTTTGGTCTCTGCTTCTGCTCGCACACCACCCGGCGCATCTCCTCGATAGATGGGTCGGAAGGCACCATGTCATAGTAGGGCAGCTGGTAGTCTTCATGAATCCCTGCTGTACGCAGCAACGCATGTGAGAATTAAAACAAACCGCTCTTTCTTTCATCTCCACAATGATGTATCCATAGATCAATGATCAATCAACCTTTTCCCATTCTGAGACATCTACAAGTTGCAAGTTGGGTCCCGTTCACTACTGAATCTCGGAACGCGCAAATGGTGAGCATTCATTTATATTTAGAGGCACAGCGCCACTGTTTTTAAAGACAATGTTCTCACACCTGCGCGGTGTGAGAACATTATCACACGCCCTCCCGCATGGCCTTTTACTTACGATTCCGTTCCCGATGACGTACGTGTATGTCATTGGGATTGGAAGAAAAACTGATGACATACACGTATGTCATCGGAACGGGAAAGGGTTAAGCTCACAACACATGCTTTGAACTGAGAATCGGAGTTCTTCAAGGTGGCCCGGTAGACTGGTGGTCACAAGGCTGAGTTAGCACTGCTTAGATCCTCAGCTTGATCATAGGCAACCATCCACAATAAAAGTGAAATCTCAAGTGTAGTTAATTGATAGTATCAGTCTAATCATTAGGGACTGCTAAAAAAAAATCATCATTTTCATTTTTTTATTTGGTTCAACTCCAGCTCTGGAAATTAAAATATCTGTTCGACTGTCATGTGACAAAAAATGGTGGGTGGAAAATGCAGCACCACTAGTGTGGATAAGTCTAAATCTCTTCCCCCCTCCTTCTCACTGCTCCTTCTATTCCCTTACTTAAGTTTTTCTTCCCTCAACTTTGCCTTGCCCATGTAAAAGTGCATACACCTCACTCACGGTCCCACGCTAACATGGGGCAGCGAGTCCGATCTCCCCCTTCCTTTAAACCTAGGAGCATAGAGTTTGGGACCTATGTCCGCAGAGTTTCAATAACCCCCTCCCTGTGTCACGGTGTGTGCTCGGTACCGGGCTCTTATTGAAATACAATATAAAACAATATAATACAATATAAAACAATTTAAAACAATATAATACAATATAATACAATATAAATAATATAAAATAAAAAAATAGGGAGGCATGAACCCCCCCCCACCACAGAATCACCACCGACTGTAAAATGTATTAAACAAAGCACCTACGTTTGTGTACATTGTTTTAATAGCCGATTATTGCATTTATAGCAGCCATACGATTTTTTACTAAACTCAATCCACAACTGGGTTTAAGTATATCCAAAGCTATACATGTATTATTGTAATTATTTGAATTTGTTAAAGTTAGACATATAGTCATAATAGTTGACATTTTAGCTGTGGCAGGGCATCCATTAAGGCATCATGTGAAAGTTTATTAGCAATGTCACAGGCTAGGAGATTAATGTATTATACATTCAAAAATTATATTGAGCTACGGATGTGGAGCTTATACTCTCCCACAATGTTGCATACTGTCAGTTCAGGCAATTTCCTCACACTTATTTGTGACAAGGCAGTTGAATCTGCTTTGCCATCTGCCACGTTGCTAATTTATGCAAATGATGTCTGCCACAAGGACAGTGGCAACGGGAGCTGTGTGTCTGATGTAAGTGTGCATTATGCAGGGGTTGTACACAATGCAGCAAATGGAAATATTTATAAGCACATCTGCAATGTGTGCCAGTGTTTAATGTAACATGAACAACGTACCTCCGACAGCACATCTCCGAGCTATTTCCCAGAATACTAGCCCCAGAGCGTAGATATCAGCACGCTTGAATGAGTCAAAGTGCTTCATGTTGATCGTGTCATCAAGAACCTCTGGTGCCATGTATCTAATGAAAGAAATCAAGACATTTATCAAATTAAACATCATGTTGTTCCATGCTTCATTTACTTTTCTACGTGTGCATTGATTCATTTTCTTGTATACACAGCATTCTTATTCTACCGCTGACTTATGTATGCTTTTAGTAATGAGCAAGTTATAAAAGACATATGAACCAGATCCTCATTTAATAAATCATAGCATTTATAAGTCTTAACATTGTTGGCATCATCCCTAAGAGATGTGACCTACAACATGCATTGCTTGCAATCAAAGGGCCGACAAAATGAGTGCACGTATTTTTGGATTCCCTTGGGAAAGAATTTGAGCCGCTACAGGGCACCCATAAATGTCCAACTTAGATGGACCAGACTCCAGGCTCCAAGCCAAAAAATGATGAAAACACAATATATTCAAGGCATGTACCCTTGCAGTTCAATGGTCTTTCAGTATACTGATGTAATTTATAACATGTTTCCTCAAGAGATAACACCAAGGCAAGGTTTTCCATCAACCTTAGTATGCACAGCACCATTAGTACTTTGCTAGGTTGCACTGCACACTAATTATCCATGTGTGTCTACTCGACATTCACCTGTCTTGCTTGACTACAACAATGCTTTGTAAAATGTGCAGAATATTTGAATGACATTGCCAAGTTCATAATTAGAGTGAAAGCTAGCGGGAAGAATACAGTTGTTTGATAGCCTTTACACAAAATACATTGCTACAAGCACCCATACAAGTAGAAAAAATGAGATGGTTGGGTTTTCAAACCAGTACTTGTTGATTGTTTTATACGCTTTCCCCAAGGTTGACTACTCATTTCCTTACTATGAAGCCAAATTTAATGCGTCTCTGCGTTGTACAAAAAAAGACAGAACTAAATTTTACTTGTTTCAGTTATGGCTAAATAAACACCCCAACATATGCAGCTCTTTTGTCAATTCTGGATGAGGGCATCTTCCTCCGTGCTGCCACTGCAGTGTGGGTTACTGGACGACACTAAACCAAGTCCGTGAACATGAGACGTGGGATCACAGAGGTATGGTAGAACAATGGACGTTATATAACTGCGCTCTGCCACCAACATTGTGGGTCCACAGCCACCCATAACAAACCATTGTGCAAGGGGGTCACTCATTCGAGCACTATCCAGGCGTAAGCCTGCTTATCTTCGAGATCAAGCGCATTCCGCACATTCAAGGTGTTTGGGTTATGCCCCCCTCCATCACCTTCATAAAAAATATATTACATTCATTTTTACAGCTGCTTGAGAACCAAAAACAAAATCTACCTCTGCATTCAAAGTAAATGATGACCAGTATATTTCATGGGGACAAAAGAAAGCATCAAAATGTAACGTTTTGTAAGCACTCTTTAACAATTCTGCACATTGGCAGTCGATTACAAATTTAAGGCCATTTTCAACTAGGTAAATTACGTGTAAGTTGAACTTCTTTCGCACCATGCGTAGCCAACCATGCTAATCGGCGGTGCAGGGGAAGGACAACAAACTAAACACAAAAAGCATAACCTCTCTAAGGCGGTCATCACTTTGATGTGCTTAACTAAAATTAAACTAAACTTTGTATTTTATCAGGTAAGGCCCACTGAGCTATACAGCTCTTTTTCAAAAGCGACCTGGCCACAAATGATCACTCAACGAAGTGGCTTATCATATGGAAATTTATAGCAGCTAAATACTCTAAAAGCACGTTTCTAAATGTGGAGAGAAAAACCGGAGGACCCAGAGAAAAATCCACGCTACCATGGGGAGAACAAGCAAACTCCAAATATACAAAATCAGAATATTTATTTATAATGGAGGAATCTGATGACCTATGAAGCTATTTTTCACAGATGTCCAGTATACAATAGGCGTCAGGGTCGGGATCGAACCCACAACCTCCTGCAGCATACCAGGTGAGGTAGTTAATATCTCGCCACCGTGGCGCCTGCGGGTGCTACTGCTGCCAAGGAGAAAAAACAACAACATTCCATTTGTTTTCTTTCGCTTTGCACCAGGGGCTTAGTTTGTCGCAGCACAACAAGCCTGGCTGAATAGCGACATAGCTAAGCAGTGCAAGAGGAACCTCAAGCTTGAACCCAGTTGGTGCACACAAGCTTAAAAATCGTGCGGTGGAAGTGCACTGTTAAATATTGGTCCTGGAAGTAGTCCAGGTAAATTGACCCGGTGTGTCCATAATACAGATAGCATACGACACTGGCACAGTGGTCTTCAGCCCTGGGCCAGAGGTGGCATTCACTGGGCTAATGTTGACCCATTGCAGCATGTTAAGCAGGGAGTAGTATGGAAATCCAGCACAATAACCCATCACTGTCTTCAGATCTGGATGATGTGAACACTTACCATGTTTATTGTCATCTTAAACGTGACTGCGAAACACTTTCATTATTGCCAAATGAGGATTTTAAATTACATGTGTACAACAAAAGGTAACTGCCTCGGAATAACACACATTCATAAAACCAAGAGATACTTATAATAAATAATGGCTACATGTATACCTGAGTTCTGCCAAATGCTTCGCAGCTAAACCTTACATAATCTCCAGTCTGCGTTGACAACATGCTTGGCATACATTTTCTTTCGTCAGCAGTGCACTCGCTACACTACCTGAGGTAGAATATAATGGCTACAGGCGATTGTAGGAGTCAGTAAGTAAAATTGAGAGATATGACAACTCAACATTAAAAGTATATTATGACACTAGACAAAGTTGACATACGAACACGACAGACGAATATTTTAGTTAAAATTCGACATGATCACGGGGACAGCATGCAAACTCCAAATATACAGGCGTCAGGGTCAGGATCGAACAAACAACCTTCTGCATACCAAGCGAGGGAGTGAACATCTCGTCACTGCGGCGAGATGTCACCAACAAAACCGGTGGTGCTGTTGAAGCAGTAAATATTTGGCACATTTGATTCAGATGACACTGTTATTAATTGGCTGTGTTAGGTGGAGTAGGGTTAGCGACATACATGAATCCAAAATAACCCAAATATTAATCAATTTTTCGTTCAGAAAACCATTTGAATTATATTTTAAAATTAAGTAATGTGTTAACCCTTTAATTATTCACTTATGTTCTAAAATACTACAAATGGTAAAAATCCTTGAACGGTTTATATTTATTAGTCATTCATAAAAAAATATACAGCAGAGATTGTATGCGAAAGCTCTGTACTACAGTGTTAAAGCCGTGTGGAAACTGGCACCATTTCATACATCACAGGATTAAAAGTGATAACAAGTTGGGAATAAAGATTAACACATGCTTTACGAGCTGCAATATTGTAGCATTTGAAGGGCCTGTGCCAAAATGTGACCACAGCAATACTGCTAAGTGCTTCTTTTATAGCATAACTCTATTGGCTTGTAAACTAACAACCAAAGTGTTATGATCACTTGCCAAATGTACCCACGAAAAAATTGATCATCATAGCATATGTACCTAGGACAATTATCAATTACTGAAGGTGAATTGAGCTCGATATGTTGAAATAAAGATGTTGGCAAGACCAGGTTGGAGTACTTTTGGAAAACTGAATTTGTGAATGAAAAGCAACGTGGAAATGTGCCTACAGAATAACAATGCAAAACGGAGGTACGGGGAAGGACAACGAAATACAAAAAGCAAGATGAGACTATGCCGACATGGGAATGCCTTCAGCCAGCAGTCGATAGATCAATGCTGAGGGTGATGATTATGACTAGTATTATCAGACCTTGGTCAGATATATTCCAGTGTTTATATCTCACAGCAAAGGCTGCCATGGTAAGCACTGCGGGAGTCACAAAGGCATGCCCTGTAACGTAATGGTCAAATCCACACAGCATCTCATCAATCATGCCTTGTCAGCCAAGAACATCCAGGTCAGCAAAAGTCACTGCTGATTACAGAAATAACTATACAACTTCTAGATCTGCTTAAAAGCCTGCCAAAGACCACTTGGCATCACAATGCATAAAAAGGTAATGCCCATGCAAAATTGGTATTGTGTAGAGTACGAGATCAATACTTTCATCTGTTATTTCCCCATGACTGTGAAGATTAAAGTTAATATTGTAGGAAAATTATTATCTGTTTATAAAAGCTTCGTGAACAAGAAATATGTCTGGTCATTGTACGTTATGGATCTTGGCCCTTAAACTACCACAAGACAACGTAGGCTCTAGATCCAGCGTAACAGTACCCAGCACAGAAAGGCAATGGCCTACTCTTTGTGAATGACTAAAATCATTATACAGAACCCTTATACATGGGGTTATCCATATATTTGCTCCACTTGTCCATGGGGAAACAAATCGATTGTTATGTATAATTCAAATGATACATTTTCAGTTAATTTCCAAATGTGGACCCTAATGCCAGCACACTGTAAAGAAAACGGTGCATAGTATTATTATGCTTGTTACACCGGCAATGATGATCAGGGAAGCCGCTGGATTACAACCGTGAACCTCTGCAACAAGCGGCGAACAGGCCACGTCACCGCCCTAGATTTTGCCAATGAATTCTTATTCACATAAAACATCATGGATAATAGGAAGCTGTTCTTCAGCAGAAAGGAAAAAAATACAGAAACACAGAGACCAGTACAGTTGATAATCGGAGGTTTATATATATTTTGTTATTTTGTTGTTTCTCTTCAACGTGACTTTACCGAAAAAACTAAGAATAGGAGTTCTACCGTTATGTACAGAGTTGACAGTGTAAGGATCACTGCGCGACGCGCTGTATGAGAGGGATGCAGCTACCACATGCTGACCTCTTGGTGCCCACGCGGTTGTTGGGTGCGATGTCGATGGTGTCGGTGGCCGAGTCGTGCCGCACGGCGAGACCCAGGTCTGCGATGGCGCACATGCCGTTTTTCTTCACCAGGATGTTCTTTGACTTGAGGTCTCGGTGGGCGATGGCCGGTTTACCTGCGAGTTGGTGACCGGGTCAAACCATGGGTGGAGTGCAATGGGCAGAAAGAATGCACATTAATGAGTCTTCTTGTTCAAGAACAAAATATATAGTGCACAAGATCAATGGCAATCAAACCAATATTTGTATTATCAGAGCCAGAATTTACCCAAATTAATTTTACAATTTTACGTGAGTGTTTTTGTGTGCCCTGGTAATCAGACTTAGACCAACAACACGCTGCATTTGAGAAACCAGTTTAAGTACAGGATTTGAACAAAATATCTCAACGGTGCCAGCTCAGCGCTCTAACCTCTGTGCCACTGAGCCACCTCACTGATAAAAATAATAAAATATTCCATCGAGGAAGATCCCTTAACCAAGCCAAAAATCTCTATTTTTATAACGATTAAATGGGTACCGCAGATTTAATTCAGGGCTACATTCCTCTTGCTGGCTGCTACAGCTGGTTAAACAGTCAATGAAGGCATCATGGATTTAAGCAAAAGCCACTTATACCACACTGGTACAGATTACCTTCTCTTCATCACACCAAGAAATGCAACATATACACCTGTTACAGTGATACTTTACTAATTTAATAACTCTTCCTTTTATCAACACATGTTTTACATTTATCGCACAATGGGGACCTTTGTGTGTTGGCATGAAGGGATATGCATCCCTTGGCAAGACCATTACCATCTGAGCATCCTCCACACTGAGAATTTGTTGTGATTTTCCTGTGGAATACGATGGCCTGAGGTTCCATTGGCTAACACTACTCTATGCATTCCAGCTGGACGTAGGAACACAAGGCTGCCAATATGGTTGTGTTCCTATAAAACAGAATTCTCTCAGCTGAATGCGATTGAATGTAAAGAGGTCACAATGCATTTGTTACATGGGGTATGCTTCATGACAAACCCTTGTGCACAATTAAAGAGACAACCATATTGGTGCTTGCACTAATTAAATTACCTTATGGTGGGCCTTGTACATTTTTTACGTGACTTGCTTTCGAAAACAGAATTTCCGTGCATTTTGGGGAGGGGGGGAAGGAAGGAAATCATATTCCATGAATTGGGAGCTCTTCAATTAAGAAAAAATATTCTATACGACACTTAACTTTGTTAAAACAACTTTTATATAAGGTTTTAACGTAATAGTCCTTGCGATTGTATAATTGGCTTTTTAATTTTAGCTATGTACGTGTAAGGGGCAGCAATGTAGGCACACACGTGTCATGTTTGTTTGTTTACCCTGTGTGCCAACAATCTCCATGTGCAGGTGAGCAAGACCACTGGCAGTGGAGAGGGCTAGCTTAAGCATCCCTTCCACAGGCACTGTGAAACGATTCAGGTAGTCGAAGAGCGAGCCATGCTCGTGGTAGTCGGAGACTAGCCACAACTGCGTCCAAGTCCCATTGTCTGTAAACACATGAAAAATCATCAACAGTGGCCCAACAAGTTCAAAAAAGTAAGTGTCTACGTAGCAGGATAGTCTAGCAGCCACCACCAAACCCACCACATCGAGTCAACAGCTATATTCCATCAGCCGTGTGGACATTTATACAGAGTGGAGGTTATCACCAAAATTATTAATTACTTGATGTTTTTATATAAAATGTTACACATATCTATAGAAATTTCTATCCAATAACAGCCAGATAGAGTTATAATAAATGAGAATGGTGATCCCAACATCTATTGCCTGTGTTGCAAAGGCATGAATGCGAACAATGTAGCAGGAGTTGAAAAATTAGGCTTGCATGATATAACTACACCATATAGTGCCAATAATGTCGCCGAGTGACCACACATGTATTTGCTACAGTCATGGTCACTGGCCCCCATCACAAGAATGAACAATTTTTACCACTTGCTCAAAGCCGACATGTTATATTGAGAAAGGGAAAGACTCGCACTCGCCTTTGATAATTCTGTTAACACTCTAAAATGTTTTTACTTACGAAAATAGGCTTGTTGCAAAGTGCAGTAAAATGCTGGCAGGATGTGTTTCTAAAAAAAAAAAAACCTTTATTGTCGGCAGCGATGAAGCCCAGGATGTTTTCGTGGCGCAGCATGACTGTCTGGTAGATCTCGGCCTCGCGGAACCAGGACCGCTCCTCGCGTGACGAGAAGATCTTGACAGCGACGTCCTCGCCACGCCACTTGCCACGCCACACCTCGCCGAAGCGACCCTTGCCGATGCTCTCCTGCAGCACGATGGTCCTTGCGATGGTGCGCTGCACCAGCAGAGGTAGACCTGTCTCGACACGCATTGACACGCCTCCATTAACCTTCATTGTGATGGACCGCCTGGTGATTTGTTAAGAGGGTGGTACACTGTTCATCGGCAGGTCTGCGTGTGTTGCAGGTGAAGTGTGGGTACTCTTAACTCTTCCAAAATATCTGGCCACCGTGGAAGAGTAACCCATACATGGTATGCCATTATTTCAATTAACCTTGAATATTATTTCATCCATAAAATGCATGGCCTTAAATTAGCCACTTGGTTTAAGATTTTTTTTCTGTTAAATGTTTATTTGAAATATTTTTTCATAACAAAAGTCTATTTTTTATGTAAGTAAATTTTAGGTGGAGTATCACACCTCATTATTCTGTTACCTTTCTGTGAATTTTAGGTTTTGTTCTCACACTTCGGCCATGAATTTACAAAAACATTACCATGCCACAAACTTTAAATCATGGATCATGAACTGGGGCACAGGCGTTCTATCCCAAGTGCCATGCCAAATGTACTGCGTTATTGTTCTGTTTTCACCATGTGTCTCTCTCTCCCCCTTAATCTTTCTTCCATGATTTAAAAAAACACCCATCCTCTCCTGACCAGCATCTCTTATAACAATCAGCTGTCCCCGTATCTTAAAAAGTCACTCAAAAGCCTCATAAATGTACCATGCTAAACATTCAAGCATCACAAAGCTACTGCTAAAAAACATGTATTTGGCTGGAGTCTGGAAAGTCTATTAGACATAACATCTTGGCATCATCTTGTGATAATAACAATATTAATGTATTTATCATGCTTAATTGCAATTAATTATACACGTGCAAAACCTGATTATGCCAACAATTCTCAAAGCATGAAAAAAAGAAACACAATAGGACAACTTTTTTTTTCTGAATAACTAATATAGATCAGGAGCCAGATTTATTTGTTAACTAAAATAGTTTTTTTCTAATTCTTTTGTTAAAACCTCCCATGTCTCCACCACCAATATGGCCAAATCGGTAAGGTGATACATTTCAGCCGTTTAGTCAACATGTGAATCTCGCCAGCTGCTAGATGGATTTAGATTTACACAAGCTGTTTGCCATGAGCGTCCTCACGTCCAACAAAAGCATACCTGATCCAGATCCTGAAGTGGTTAGGTCATAGAGGTCTTTAAGAGTTGTGCCCTCAGTGATGTAGCGGTGGTGGTGGTGGTGATGCAGGTGCCCAATGTCCTGCTCCTCATCCGAGTCTGGCACGGGCAGGTGCCGGCATGCTGCCCGGTTGTGGCATAAGCAGAGCACCACGGTGAACAGCACGCAGAGGAAGCAGATGGGGGCGGCGATGGCCACGGCCAGCTCCACCGAGCTCCACGAGCTCAGTCGGTCCAGACCCACCAGCGGCGTTGGGTCTGTGCACATAAGCAACGCCCGGACAGTGAGTGAGAAAGCCAGCAAGCCACTAGCACACAATGCAGCATGCGCCAAGCAATGGGTTCTATACTGCATCTGAGAAGTAATGGTCACCAACTGGGGTGAACAATGGTAACGTACTAAAGGATCATTATAACTGTATATCATTATCAAAGCAAACATGTGCAAAAGACACTCTTCAGCAAACTTTCTAAGTGTACAATTTCCATGAAATAATTGTCTTATCTTCTTGGTTCTTTCGGTAAAGTCACGTAGAATGGAAATAAAATAATACAAATAAAACAAAATTAAAATAAATGTTAGTTTATAAAAATAAAACAAAATAAAATAAATTTTATTTTATTGTTTTATTTTTATTATTTTATTTCCATTCTACGTGACTTTACCGAAAGAACCAAGAAAATGAATCCCTGCAGTCACGAAAGTTTTAAATCGAAATAAATGTCTTAGTTTGGTTAATTTTCTTTTGCAGAATAGTCTCTGCTGCTCCAGGGGACTATGTTTTAATACTAGCATCGCTCATGGTACAGGCCTTTAGGCAGCTCTATCCCTTTATATCAGCGGCAGTGGCATGTCAAAATTCCTGCTTCAATGCTCCTAGCTGCGGATATCCATCAGCGGTGCTACGTGTGCATTGCGGCGCCAGGCTCTGCCCCATTGTGGAAAGGAGGACGAGGCATCTACCGGCACTGCTGGCACCAGGGCCCTTGATCTCCTCAATCGGGGTGGGTGAGACCCCTGCCTCTCCATCCCCAGCGCTGTCTGGTTACCCTTCGTGGGTCCCCGTTTAAACCGCGAACGTGGGGGGGGGGGGTCGTCGGCCATGTCGAGTCTTTTTATGGTGGCAAGTGAGCGCTGCATGTTGATACATTCTGTTTTAAGCTCCAGCTACTGGTATCGGATGGGAATGTTTAATTGCCAACAAATTATTGTAGACGAACAAGTGACATGTCATGGTAGATGGGCGATAATGGCAATGGAATGGCAGTAAGAGGTTAGATTTCGTCCAATGTGATGACCACAATTCATGTGTGTAGGAGTCGGGATGACTTGTGGAGTCTCAGTACTATGAGGCATGTCAACAATGTGCGGATGCCTTCATCCAGCAGGGGATATAAGATGGTTGATTATGAGGACATCGTTGCCAAAGCTTACTGACGGAGGAAAAGTGATGTAGCTTTTTGACATTTAGCATTATTACAATTACAGGCCCATAAAGTACGTATGCCTGTTGAACGTCTTTCACACTGTACGTAGCCAACTGTGCTAATCAGATGTGCGGAGGAAAGACAAGTCAAAGGTGTGGGGGGGGGACAGTAATTCAGTCATTTTCCCATTGAAGCTGTTTCCTGAGGATCAAGACAAACGTGTATGAAACCACCCACACACATGCAACTACTGTGGATTAAATGTACATCTAAATACAGTATGGATTATTAGACCTCGGTAACATCATCAGCTGGCTTTACCCAGACCTGAGAAACAACATGTTTGTGAAAGCACATGTCTGTTAAACGTGTTCCATCTAGTAGTAACAACAGTTGTTTTGTGTTGATATGACATACAATGCCATGCTATTAAAAAATGCACTTCAACAAATCCACGACTTGAAGACTCAAATAATAAAGCTACCACTTAAAAAAAAATGTGGTACAATTTTCAAAACTGGATTTGTTATTAAATTGAAATTCCCCCAATCCAATTATAAAATAAAGATGAGCTGGAAATACAAGAGGGCCAAGGCCTTTAGGCATTTGGAAATGATCAAACAACCACCTGTTTTGCATGACATTTGAACCCATACTGCTGTGTAAATTGTTACTATGGTGAATGTTTTTTTTCTCCTCCCCAAGGTCAATGACATATGAAGATGAATATCAGCAATCCTTCTAGAGCAAGCTATGTTGCCTGCAGAACTGTAGTAACAATAATAATCTCAAACCACACACCGTGATTGTCAACCTATTAAAAAATGTAAAGCCGAGTCACAATTATTAATCTGCTGCTGAAGCTTTGCTTGTCAATGGAATAGCTCCTCCGAAGAGAATGCCTTTCTTATCAATTGTATTTCAGTGTCACAAACCAAATCAATTTGTTTCCGCTCCACAGGATGTGGGTTAGCACCAGTCGCGGGAATATTTCGTTGTGAATTTAGGGCAAAAGTCTAAAACCTGCTTGATTAAAAACACCGCTTACAAAAGGTGACAAAAGGGCCATCATATTCAGATTCCATGAACAATATAACTATGAATTCCTCAAAAATACACGCACAAGGCGTTCCTTGTAAACAAGCAATTGCACGCATCCACACATCTAAAGAGCTATTGTGACACTGCTTAGAGACTTTTTATACAAGAGGCTTCTACATTACTTAGTACCAAAATGTGAGCCATGAAGCAGTCTACAAAATCACCGTCGAAATGCTGTAGTAGACTTGGCATTATATGTACCATCACCGTGTTTCTACACTGTTTGGTACGTAAGGGGACGTCCATAAATGACGTCACGCACCTGGGGGGGGGGGTCAGATTTTTGTGACGATATGTGACGGGGGGGGGGTGAGAAATGTGACGTCACATCAAAATGCGCAACTTTAAATATATATAGAATTGTTATAACAATACTAATTGTTATAACACTCCTACAACATCAGAGTGCAGCGCCACATTAAATACGCACTACAATGGCAATAGTTTAAAGCGATTTCAAGCATGTTTTATTTTCAAAATGGAAATATGGTTTTGGGGGGGCGGGGGCAGAGCTTTGTGACGTCATATTTGAGGGGGGGGGGTCTGACTTTTTGTGACGAAGTGGGGGGGGGGAAGTCAAAAATCGTCCAAAATCGCGTGACGTCATTTATGGACGGCTCCTAACGACCAGCAGGCGGAGTAGTATACGGGCACACACGTGATGCAGCAGGGGTCGCCCTCCGGATCGTGAGACAAGGCCACGCGGCGCACGTCGATGGTGCACTTACCAGTAATTGTGTATTGCTTGCGGCTTCATGACTCTCTGTGCCTTCGTGTCACTGACAAGAGTCATGCCTGCTAAACCCTGACCGTGTTCTCCCCTTGTAGTGCCTCAGCATGTTTTGCAACCGATTTAAAATAAATATGGGGGGTGCAAGGGGCGGGTGAATGGAAATAAGTAATATATATTTAAAAAAAAACTTTTTTAAAAAACACGCTTTAACGAAATGTACCGTACGAGTAATGGCAGAACTCCACGACTCCAGGAAGTGGCCCCGAGGCTTGCCACAACGTAAGGAACTGTGGTGATTTACAGCCAACGTGAGTTGAGCGTGCACAATTAGACCCAAGCCGAAACATCTCCATATATATAAAAGGCAAAGTTGTGATTATGTGTGTCTGTTCAAAATGTTTAGCGTACTTCCCGACATGCAACAATCTGGAAATTTGCCATGTGGGTACTTTCCAGACTGTACTCCATGCAAAAATTATAAAAATACACTTTTTTGGGGGGGGGGGGGACGGGAGCTCAATAATGCATATATATTTTTTGCACGGCAAGTGAGCTGTGATGTCAAATCTGTCACGGACCCGCGCATGTGGAAGCGTAACGCATTGCAGTGTAGTGGTTAGCGCGCTGTGTATGTGTCTGTGTGTGTGTCTTTGTGTGTGTCTGTGTGTGTGTCTTTGTGTGTGTCTGTGTCTGTCTGTGTCTGTGTGGAAGTGTAACGCATTGTAGTGTAGTGGTTAGCGCGCTGTGTATGTGTCTGTGTGTGTGTCTTTGTGTGTGTGTCTGTCTGTGTCTGTCTGTGTGTCTGTCTATGTCTGTGTGGAAGTGTAACGCATTGTAGTGTAGTGGTTAGCGTGCTGTGTATGTGTCTGTGTGTGTCTGTGTGTGTCTCTGTCTGTGTCTGTCTGTGTGGAAGTGTAACGCATTGTAGTGTAGTGGTTAGCGCGCTGTGTATGTGTCTGTCTGTGTGTGTCTGTGTGTGTGTGGAAGCGTAACGCATTGTAGTGTAGTGGTTAGCGCGCTGCTCTACGAACCCGGCCACCCGAGTTCGATTCCTGCTCACGGCCACCACTGGTCACGATTAGTTCAACCGCTTCTGGGCCTCCCTTAGGTCGACTCAGCCTCAAACGAGTAACTGGTGTGTGAACATCGCCACTGGGGAGACAAAGGCGGCCAGGCGTGGTGGATCCAAGTCCCGGGCGAAGCCGGGTAGTACAGCTAGTAATATATAACAAAGAATGTTTAAAAATATATATATTTTTTATGATAGAATATAGTATAGTCATCAGTATGACATAAGTATACCAAGTTTTCAGTCAATACCACATTGGTGAGTGGGTTAAAATTAAGTTACAATATTTGAGGATACAACAGAGTGAGTTAAATAACAGGGTGTAATAAAAAACGATTCAATTGCTCCCATTAGACTGGAGTCTCAAGTGACCCTCATCTAGAATATTTGGCAGGGATTTATTATGACCAAAGAAGTGGGTCATAGAATGAAAAACTGGTGGTGATGGCCAGTGGTGGAAACTAATGAGAGATAGGCAGGGCTTTCATCCAGCAGTACACAGTTCACAGATTATGTAAATTGTATGATTATTTTCACTTTTCGATCAAGCAAAGCAATAATCGATCGCTTCATTGATTACTTCCAAGTTGACGGTTTCAGCTCTCATTGAAACAAAAAGCTATTTTACATATTGCATTGCACAAAAAAAAAAACATCTGTTGCGTGTCAAGATAAATGTCACAGCACCAAGCGGCGTCATGCTCAGATGACCGCTGTCAAAGTAAATTGTTCTGCAGACGTTCTCCATATCTGCAAAGGCCAATTGCACCAGTGTTTCTTTTCTCAGAATGAAAAAGGTTTTTGTCTTATTTTAGCCCTGCAAATGACGCTCTATAACGGCAGACCTATACATGCTCTTGCACCGCTTGCTCGTGCACGCTCGTACGCCATACGGAAGCAGCTTGAAACAAATGAATGCATATTGTG